TCCTAAGTTCCTTAGGGCCTTATTAAGTTGCTGAGGTTGGCACTGAACTTGCAATCCTCCTGCCTCAGCCTCCCAAGCTGTTATCTACATTTTTATATACCAAGTTACTTTTAATTAGATACTCAACATAATAGATATTAGTAGTCTAGATTTTATTCTCTTTTTGTTTTTGTTCTAGTAGGCAATCAATCTATGTTCAGAGTAGACTGATTCTTCCAACATTTGTTTTAAATTTTGTTAAGTATGGGTCTAGGAAATTCTCTATTTTAATAAGCAATTTAACCCTATTTTTAAGTTAGGGTCCTTTTGGGTTTTCCACTGATTATCCTGATAGTCAATTGGACTTTCCATTTCAACTGGTAGTAGTTTAGCATCTCCTACAAACCCACATTGCTATTCTTTGCACAGTCTCATGGATTCTCCCTGTACAAACAATTTTATATTCAGCCAAATACTTAACCTGTCCATGCTCCTAGAACTGTTCCTAAATTCCAATGCTCTTCTGAGAATATACTAGCTGTCTCAGCCCCCTGAGACTTTGATCTGTCTTTGTGACTTAGGCACACCACCATTACTGAATTTGAGTTCCTCCTCCTCAAAAAAGGATCCAGTAAGTGTTATAGGCACATATACAGGATAATTTTAGGGATTACCTTATTTTCCTTTGTCAGAGATTGCAGTTTTCTAAGCTGCCTTTTACTCAATGTTTGAAATAGTTTTCGTGTATTTTATCCAGAATTTTCTAGTTGTTTTTTAGCAATAGAACTAATCCAGTACCAGTTATTCTATTATGGCCAAAAAGAGATATGTATTTGACCACAGGGGCTGACTCCAGTCAACAACACTAGGGGGTAATAATTTAAGAAAGCACAGTGTTGCAGGAATATCAAACCCTGGCCAAGGTGGAAAATTAGGCTGTGCAAGGTTTCTTCTTATTTTTACACTACTTTTTTTAATTAATTTTTTTAGTTTGAGGCTGGATAATTCCTTGTCTTGGGTGGCTGTTCTGTAAATTCTAAGGACATTTAGTAACATCCCTGGCCTCTAAGCACTAGATACCAGAAGATTCCCTGCCCCTTCTAGCTCTAATAACCAAAAATGTCTCAAGATTTGCCCCCCTTCCCAAGGGAGGGGGACTGCCCCACCCTGAGAACCAGTAGACTGGCACTTGCTGGACTGGCATGGAAATACATTTCCAGGGTACACTTGTCTAGCATGTAACACCTCCCTTGAATCCCCAGGGTTTGAGTCCCAACATTAAAGGAACAAAGGGAAGACTGTAGGAAAAGGAGTACAATGGCATACCAAGTGGTTTCCCTAGTTTTGTTTTTTTAATTTTTGCAGTGCTAGGGTTTGAACCCAGGGCATCATGTATTAAGCAGAAATTCTTCCACTGAGCTAAACCCCCTGCTCAAGTCATATTCCATTTTTGAAAGATCAGTTTGATTCTGGAAACAATGGGGAGCTTTATGCAAAGCAGTTACAGATTTGGATTTGTCTTATTAATAATTTAATTAAATTAGCAAAATAAAGAATCCATATATTTAAAAACTTACGTTATTAAATTACTAGTTGCTAGAGGAAATGGAGGGTATCAAAGAGTATTATGGAATGACAGGCTAAATACAGAGGTTTTTGTTGTGTTTTTGCAATACTAGGGATTGAACCCAGGGCCTTGCACATGCTAGATTTGCTAGGCAATTGCTCTACCACAAGCTACATTCCCAACTGGATTTTTTTTTTTTTTTTTTAAGACAGGGTCTCTCTAAGTGCCCAGGCTGGCCTCAAACTTCTGATCCTCCAGCATCAGTCTCCCAAGTAGCTGGGATTACAGGCATGTGTCCTGGCAGCTGAAGGTTTCTGAAATATTGACAATGTTCTAAAACTGATGGTAGTGACAGATGCACAATATCTGTGAATCTTTTAACTGTACACTTTTAAATGGAGATACATATGGAATGTAAATTGTATAACAACAAAACTGCTTTTAAAAATAAGAGCAGTGGGGGATATAGCTCAGCAGTAGATCATTTGCCTAGCAAGAATGAGGTCCTGGATTCAATTCTCAGTTAGTGTAGTTAGGTAAATCAGGTCTAATGAGTAAAATGGAAAATGAAGGCCTTGTTGAGAATGGAGTCCTGGAAAGCAAAGCAGCACTTGGGAAATTGAAATGTTAATGTTCCCAAGGCCCATAGCCCATCCCAAAGAAATGTTAATGAAATAGCTCCCAGCAAACAAGGAAATGCTCATCAGAAGCTCCCCTGGCCCTTCAGGCCCAAGATTATGCCTCAGGCCCATCTGCCCCTCACCTTTTTGGTCTCCCCATCTACATTCTATCACTGCAAGATAACAGAACAAAGGACAGGAATGCTGACAGAAATGCCGGAAAGCTGAATGAAGACCTTAGCTATAAAAGAGGGAAGACCTCCCCCCTTCCCACGGATTCTACCTCTTGGGTCCCCTTCTTCCTCCAGGGAGGGGAGAAGTCTTTTCTGCTATCCTTAATAAAGCTTCTACTTTCCACTCTAAACTTGCCTCGGCGTGCTTCTCTGGTGTTATACTAAACAGCGGTAACACCAGCACCACAAAAAAATAATAATAATTACTAGTCCCAGTTACTGGGGAGACTGAGACAAGAGGATCACTTGAGTCTAGGAGTTTGAGACAAGCCTGGGTAACAGAGCCAGACTCAGGTCTCAAAAATAATAACAAGAAGGACAGAGGGTATAGCTATTGTAGAACACTTGTTTAGCCTGCGTGATGCCCTGGGTTTGACCCAGTCCTGCCCCCCCCCCCCAAAAAAGTGTATATGTATGTGTTCATATGTTGTTAGAGCTCACATTTCCTGATGACTTCTTACATGCCAGGCAGTATAAGTTCCTTACTCAAATTTTCTAGTCATCACAACAGCCTTATTTATAGTAGTAATAACAGAAATCACTTTTATAAACAGTACTTAATCCTCACCTCAACCCATAAATTAGGCACTATTATCCTCATTTTAGAGATAAGAGAACTGAAGGGGGGGGTTAAGGTGACAAAACTAGTAGCTGATCCTAGAACCCACCTGCTTACCTCTTTCTTCTTTGTGCAATACTAGGGATGGAACCCAGGAATTCATGCAGGTAACACAGGTAAGTCCCTGTAACTACTTTGCAGCTACCATATTTATATGTTTAATAAAAAATCGGAGACCTAGTGGAGTTAAGTAATTTGCACGAGGGAATGAAAGCAATTAAGTAAATGAAAATGGATTTAACCTTCAGTCACACTCCAGTTCCAGGACCCATGCATTCTCCTAAGCACTCTAATCTTCATTAACAGACAATGATCAAGAAGGTAGGAATGGTAGTAGTAGTAGGGATGAAATGAATGAACAGATTCAATAACTTGGAAGTACCAGCAAGATGTCTTGACTCTATATGAAGAAAAACGAATGAAAAAAGTTAAGGAAGGGCTGGAAGTGGTGAGCACATGAGTGCTTGAGGCCCTAGGTTCAATATCCAACATCCCAAAATAACAGAGTTGAGGAGACCCAGTTCTCTATCAGTGACTGGACAGAAGGTGGAATCACCAGCTGAGATGAAAAACAAAAGAAAGCAGCATATACTAAAAAGTGCTTCAGATCCCACTGAGAATTGACATTTTAAAAGTTTCTGCAACTTTCCAGTAAAAATATTTGCTTCCAAAAAAATAGAAATTAGGATGGACAATAAAATCAACTCTTCTCTAAGTGAAATGCATCAAATTATTACCCAGAATGGAAAAGAACAAAAGGAAGATACAATATTTCAAACTCCTTAAGAAAAATGAACTTTTTAGTTGGGAAGCATTGCTATACAATACTCAGAATCTACTCGAGTGATTCTTATATTTCAGTGTATCAGATTCCCTAAAACTTATCTAATAAAGGCTACAAACCATTTATTAATTTTCACCACCCCCAACACACTGATATTAATTTTTTTTCTTCAGTGCCAGGAACTGAACCCAGGGCCTCCTGCATGCTAAGCCTATGTTCTTTCACTGAACTACACCTCCAGACTACATCCAATTACTGTGGTAGGAAGTCAGAAATCCCTTGAAATTGGTCACAGAACCCTAGACTCAGAACCTGTCCTCTAAATTCTAAGCTCACTTACAGAAAGATAACCTCTAGTGACAACACAAAATTCAGGAATCTTTCACAAGCTCAGTTCATCGAAATTGATTATCTCCTTCATTAGTAAAACCCACCAAAAACCTGTTTCGTCTCTAGACCATCAATTAGCATTAGATCCTATTCATTGCAACTTTGCTAAGGGCCTGGGGGCTAGGAACCTAGGTAGCAGATTCAATTCCCTTTTGCTTCTCAGGTGCAATTTGTTATCATCATACAAATATGCCCCTTAGTTGGGGGTGTAGTTCGGTGTTAGTGTGTGTGCCGAGCAAGCATGAAGCCTTTGGTTCAATCCCCAGCACCTTCCACACCTCCATCCCCAAAAAGGGGGTGGGGAGGAGTACCTCTCCTATGAGTTCACCGTCCTTCTAAATAGCTTAGGTCCCTCAATCCCTCACCCAAAATAAAGCTGTTGCTTCCTTAGGCACAGCAGAAACGCCATCGATACTCATTTGTGAGTCAGAGAGAAGAGACTAGGAAAAAATACACATACTCGCGCTCAGCCAAGCTAACACCCGAAGCTGGACTACGCACACTAAGGTAATATACGCGTCAAAAGAGCAAAGACGTCATCTCAACTTCAAAACTCAACCACATACCTTTCAGAACGGCACCCCGGCCACACTGCCTGAGCATTGCAGAGGGGTCGACGTGCTGGAGAGGGGAAAGGGAAGGCTCCCCCAGGAAGGCTCCTTCCAGTCGCCTCAAACACGTGCGGACGCCTCTGCCACCGTCCAGCCACCGTCCAGCCACCGCCAGCAGCCAGAGTAACAAGACGCCGCAGCGCACCCAGGGGCAACCAGGGTCTGCCCCACGCTTTCCCTCTCCCTCATTTCCTTACCTGCTTGGCCAAGAATCTGCCCAGCTCACTGCGGCTCTTCTCGTTCTTGGCAGCGATTAACCGCAGTGGTGTGGCCGCCACCTCCAGTAAGAGATGCTCCATGATCCTAGGCCCTCTGTGCTGGGGGACCCCAGCGCTCACTGCTTCGTGCTCAGAGATTGCGAGCTGCCAAGGTTCCAGCGCCCGAACCTCCACCCACTACTCCCCTAGGGATAGTGGCCGCCGCCGCCGCTCCGCGGAGATCTGGCGAACAGCAAAGCACACGTGGGGGAGCACGCCGCGCGGCGCGTCATCAGCAAGCGACGCGGATGGCGGGCACTACCGGCCTCGCCCCCCCGGCGGAGGAAACGCCTACGTCACTATCGCGCCAGTTCCGGGAGCGGAATGGAAGCCGAAGTGACTTTTGAGAGATGAATTCCTGAGTGATGGGTGCTCTCAGACACAGTGCGTGACAGGACAGACAAAAGACTCCGCCAAACCAGGAAATAAGGGAGCTATAGGGGCGTGTGGTCTCAGCGATGCCTCCCTCCGCCTCAACACAGAAAAAGATAAAACGTGAAACAGAAGTGGATTTGCCTTCTAAGCCTCTAGGATACTACCGGAATCTGCATATATAGATAAACACAGCCCTTGAAGTGTACATATAAATATTGACAATAATTTCAATTAGATAATATTTTAAAGTATGATATATACATTGAAGAATATTCTGAAGGACCGGGCCTGCCTGTAATCCCCAGCTGCTCAGAAGGCTGAGGCAAGAAGACCATAAGTCCGAGACCAGCCTCAGCAACTGAGAATCTGTCATAAAATATTGCAGATAGTATGAGGATGGACAAAATGTGGGCGGGTGGCACTCGCCTAATCCCAGTGATTCCGCAGGTTGAGGCAGGACGATCCAAAGTTCAAGGCCAGCAACTTGGTAAGACCCTGTCTCTAAGAAATAAAAAGGGGGACTAGGGTTGTAGCTCAGTGATAGAGCACTTGCCTTTCACATGCAACGCATGGGTTCCATCCTCAGCACCACATAAAAATAAGTTAATAAAATAAAGGTATTGTGTCCATCTACAACTAAAACAAAAAATATTTTTTTAAAAAAAGAAGAAGAAATAAAATGGGTTGGGGAATGTAAGTAAAAATAGCTGTGTGCGGTGGCATATGCCTGTATTCCAGAAGCTGGGGACACTGAAGCAAGAGGATTCCAACTTCAAAGCCAACCTCAGCAATTTAGCCAATCCCTATTTCAAAAGGGCTGGGATGTGGCTCAGTGGTTAAACGCCCAATACCCAAAATTAAAAAATAGAAAGATTGACAATATTAGCATATCACTTTTGCCATCACCAGTTAATTAATTGATACAGGCAATAGGTATCAGTGCCTGCTAATAGCTCAAAAGGAACAAAACCCCAGAATTTAGATGGTTCTCCAAGAAGAACATAATACAACCTATGATATAGCCAAAATTAGATGGTTCTCCCAGAAGAACATAATACAACCTATGATATAGCCAAAAGGATCGAATCTCTGGATTCAGCTGTCAATTTGCAGAAAATAAAGAGGACATAAGAATATGTTAAACTGCATCATGAATATGTAATCGGAAAAATTGACTGTTGGAAATGCTACAGGTCAAAAGCTCAGGTTCTTCAAGAGATAAATAAAAAGGAAAAGGAAAGCCTGTGAGCGAAAACTCTGTATGATAAGAAACAGCAATGGACTGAATGTGCCTCCCACCAGATATCATATGTTGATATTTAGAGGTGGAGTCTTTTAGTCTTTTAGAGGCAATTAGGTTTAAATGAAGTCATGAGAGTTAGTATTCTTATAAGAGGAAGAGACAAGAGTCTTTTCTCCAGGCCACCAGAACATAAATAAATTTGATTAAGCCCAGTGTGGTAGTCCATGCCTATAGTCACATATACTTTAAGTTATAAGGCTAGTCTGGGCAACTTAGGAAAAAACTTCCTTAAAAAAAAATATAACAGGGCTGGGGACCTAACTCAGTGTACAGTGCTTGCCTACTATGTGGGGGGCCCTGGGTTCAATTCCCAGGGTATATAAACACACACACACACACACACACACACACACACACACACACACGAAGATATGAAGGAATAATTATGGGGAAATCTTAACAGTGGTTATTTCTGAAAAAGCAGAATGGATAATTTAAAAAACACATAGAAGCCAGATCTTGTGGTGTGCACTTGTAGTCCTAGCTACAAGTGAAGCAGGATTGTAAATTAAATTAAAGGCAGCTTTGGCAACAGAATGAGAATCTGTCTCAAATACAAAACTACTTAAAGAAAAAAAAACAGACATAAATTGTGTATGTGTGTGTGTGTGTGTGTGTGTGTGTGTATACATTCCGCAGTGATAGAGATCAATTCCACAACCTCATGCATGATAGGCATGCTAGCTAGGCAAGTGGTCCACACTGATCTACACCCCCAGCCCAAAATATATTAAATTTAAATCAATAACAATATTATCTTAGTGTGTTCAGTCACTAAGTCTATGGTATTGACACCACAGACTGGGTGGATTATGACAACAAAAATTTATTTCTTTCATCTCTAGAGACTGGGAAGCCCAAGATCAAAGCAAATTTGGTGTCTGGCAAGGGCCCACTTCCTGGCTTATAAATGGCATGGAAATGCAGAAAAGAGGAAGGAGCTCTTTGAAGTCTTTTATAAGGGCACTAATCATTCATGATGGTTTTGTGAGAAATAGTAAGCCTAATGGTCCATTTTCAGAATATAGTATGTAACCTTAGTTGGAATGTAAGATCCAATCCTAGCCATTTGAGCTTCCCAACCTGTATCCAATTGTGGCTATTTTAACTATAGCCCTTCCCTTCACCCTCCCCAATTTTAGAGTTAGCCAATTGTGTAGATGGCAACCCCAAGCTCTTCCTATCAGAGCAAAGGGCAGCTTCTCATTCAGGATAAAAAGAGGCAGTCTGCCCACCCAAGTGTGTTTGCTTGCTAGACTTAGTTCAGTAGCACACCCTTCTGCAGAAGTAAATGTTGCCTTGCTGAGGCACCTTGGTATTTTTAACAGTTGCACCCTCTTGACCGAATCACTTATCAAAGGCCTCATCTTTTAATATCCATGTCGTAGGTTAGCATTTCAACAAATGAATTTTGGCACCAAGTTTTAATAAGGATGTGCAGAGCAATAAGTAATCTCATGCAAAACTGGTGACTATGAAAACCGATAAAACCACTTTAGAAAATGTGTAGCACTATCTACTAAAGCTGAATACATGCACACCTTATGCATACCCAATTACTCTTTAAGGTATAATACCAAGATAAGTCTATAAATATTTGTACCAAAACATGTGTTAAAGAATGTAAATAATAACAACAAAAATCCAATTTAAAAACAGGAAAAGAACTTAGACATTTTCCCAAAGATACACAGGTGGCAATAAGTACATGAAAAGGGCCAGGTGTGGTAGCAGACGCCTGTAATCCCAGTGGCTTGAGAGGCTGAGACAGGAGGATGGAGAGTTCAAAGCCAGCCTCAGCAATAGCAAGGCACTAAGCAACTCAGTGAGACCTTGTCTCTAAATAAAACACAAAATAGAGCTGGAGATATGGCTCTGTGGTTGAGTGCCCCTGAGTTCAATCCCTGATACCAAAAAAAAAGTAATTAAAAAGATGTTCAAGGGCTGGGGATGTGGCTCAAGCGGTAGCGCGCTCGCCTGGCGTGCGTGCGGCCCGGGTTTGATCCCCAGCACCACATACCAACAAAGATGTTGTGTCTGCCGAGAACTAAAAAACTAAAAATAAATATTAAAAATTCTCTCAAAAAAAAGATGTTCAATATCACTATGTGGAAATGCAAATCAAAATCATAATCATAATCATACTTCACACCCATTAGGATGGTTATTATTATTTGAGAGAAGGGAGGGAGGGAAACAAGTGTTAGTAAAGATTTGTGGTAATGGAACCCTTATGCATTATGAGTGGGAAGATAAAATGGGGAAGCCATGTGGACTACTATAAAAAATAATTTAAAAATTAAACAGTGGGGCTGGGATTGTGGCTCAGCAGTAGAGTGCTCACCTAGCACATGCGAGGCCCTGGGTTCGATCCTCAGCACCACATAAAAATAAAATAAAGATATAAAAAAATTAAATAGTGGGGTATGATGGCGCATGCCTGTAATCCCAGCAGCTCGGGAGGCTGAGACTGGAGGTCTGGAGTTCAAAGCCAGCCTCAGCAATGGCAAGGTGCTAAACTACTCAGTGAAACCCTGTCTCTAAATAAAATACAAAATAGGTCTGGGATATGGCTCTGTGGTTGAGTACCCCTGAGCTCAATCCCCAGTACCTAAAAATAAATAAATAAATAAATAACCATACAATCCAGCATTTTAGGGACTTCCACTTTAGAGACTCAAATATTTATGCACCCTTTTCAATATTATTTGCAATATTCTAGAGGTGGAAACAATCCAAATGTCAAATGATAAAAAATGTGGTGGACATATACCATGGAATATTATTTAGGCTTAAAATAAGTTAGTGCTGGAGTTGTAGGTCAGGGAAAGAGTGCTTGATGCCCAGCACTGGAGAAAAAAAAAAAAAGAAGAAGGGGAGAGGGATAGAAGGAAAGGAAAGAAGGAAGTTCTGGGCCAGATGGCCAAAGCACAGTTCCATACCTACAGCACCTTTGTGAACATGTGAGCAAGTTGAACCTGATAGCTGAAGGAGAGAGTCATTTCAGACACTATGCTTGGGACTCACTCTGCTCTCAGTGAGTAAACTCAGAGAACTCTTCAGAACTAGATGAACTCAAAATTATTTAAGAAGTGCAGAGTATTGAGGAGTGAAAATGGAACCCCTAAACAAACTAGATGGAAATAATAAAGCATAGCTGTTTTAAATCAGTGGTGGATAAAAGATTTAAAATAGCAGCTTTTACCAACACACAGAAACTATTCTCATCACTACTCCTTGAAGAAAATACCCATTAAATTTCTAATTATTGCAGATAAAAATAATATGAATCTTTTTCAAAATAACCTGATACTTAGAAAAGGCTCTGGTATTCAGAATTCATAATATTATCCATGGTAAAAACTAGATATATAAAAATTATGTAATGAGGGCTGAAGTTGTGGCTCAATGATAGAGCACTCACCTAGCACAAGGGAGGCACTGGGTTTGATCCTCAGCACCACATAAAAATAAACAAATACATAAATATAAACAAATAAATAAAGGTATCATGTCTGTTTACAACTTGAAAAAT